CACCTGCCTCGAGCTCCTTTCCACTTGGGCCGCCAAGGCATGGATAGAAGAATTCACCTACCAAAAGGAAAGATAAATCAAAAGAACGATAGCAAGAAAGATAAAAGCAAAGAGCCCGACAAGAAAATCGTTGCATTACCACCATGGCATGAGTGACAGCACGACAAGCCACCTGGTTCAGAGGGAGCTCGGTCCATGCCGCGACCTCCTCAGGATAAATGGCCTCCCTACTCTTCTAAAGAGCGTAGTTCGGCAACAACACGCTCCTGAACACGCCTTGGTTTCCCGAGCCTGAAGGCACAACTCGGGTATAAGCGAACTAAGAGTAAGCGGGAGCCCCCGTGTAAGTAGCCTCGGCATAAGGGGCCCCTGCTGCTTCTTGTACTGGAGGGGCCATCTCGGGCTCCCTAGGCGGATCCACTGACGGATAGTCTGGTCCCTCGGGCTTCGCATCTCGGGGCAGTTCGGCACGAGTTCGCTTCCTCCTCTTCATGGCGTGAAACAGATTCCCACCACAAGTCTTCTCTGAGTCCATCACACCTGCAAAAACAAATCGGCATCAGGAAAACGAAAGAACAAAGCAAAACAAAAGGTAAGCCTCTGAGTAAGGAACCTACCCGAACTCAGACCGGCCTCGATGAGCTTGGCTTCCGTCAAATAATGGTGGCATTTTAGCCCAAGCCGTGCCCATTCCCGGAGGCCCTTCGCCGTCTCCTTATCAAGCGTAACATCGGCATCAGGGGCAGCCATCCCCCACCTGGTTTGGAACGGCTACCCAATGCACTTTGCACCCCGAAGTAGTCCTGTTTCCACGCCGGGACCTTGTTGGGGAGATCGTGTAAAAGCTTAAAACCCGGGCGAGGAGACAGGTAATACGCCCGCCTACGCCCGGGAAGGGGACCCGTTTGCTTCTTAAGCATCAGAATGGAAGAAAAAATCTCCAAGTCTAAGGGAAAGATTTGTTCGCAAAATAGGGAGATTGTCCCCACCAAGTTACGAAAGAATTCGGTTGAAGCTGGCCGACAGTAACGCCGAAGTGGTTCATGACCTCGACTATAAGGGGGTGGAAAGGCAAGAGCAACCTAGCATAGAGCTGCTCCCGGAATATCACGATCTCATCAGGACCGTGTTCCCAAGGGAAACTGCCCGAGGGTATAAAATAGGTGTACTCCCTAGGCAAGTTAAACTGGGTAATGAGAGAGTGAAGCCCCTCAGGCGTCATGGTCGAGGGCCCAAACTTGTCTAACGTCCGACCTCGATGAGAGGAGGACGCCAAACTACCCGAGGCGACTCGGCCTATGGGTTCGAACTCTTCCTCGAACTCTACCTCAAGTTCGCTAGGACTGTCGGGGGATGCAACTCGGTTTGTAGAACCTGCATCTGACCCCGTTGAAGAACTGTTTGAGCTATCCGAGCTAGACATCGGAAGGAGAAGATGGATTCTAGGAAAGTACTCACCCGGAAAAAGGCTTGAACGGACTACGGGAACTTGAACGCGAGCTAAAGGCTTGAATGCGAGCTAAAGGCTTGGACGCGAGCTCAAGGAGCAAAACGCAAGAGTGACAAAGCGGCTGGGGTCCCCCACTATTTATACCCACAGTAGCCCAAAATCAACGGTTCTGATCAAAGCAAATCCATCGGCCCGCAGTCACGCCGACCACACGTTTCCTGAGACTGAGACGTGACTGGCCGCACGTCTCCTGACGTGACTGGCCGCACGTCTTTTGAAACTAAAAGAGCGCCAGCACACGTCGCCTCGCATCTAAGGCGGCAGCGGCGCGTTTTTTCAAATTTGAAAAGATGCCCGCTGTCGCGTCTCCCAGCGGCGCGCTTTTTAAATTTTGAAATAAGCGCATGCTGTCACGTTTGTCAGCATTTATAGACGGATTGGCATGTTTTCCCGACTTTTTGGCGTTCAAGAATCCTGGAAGAATCCTGACAAATGCACACTTCGCGCTATCAATCAAAACCAATTCGAAGTACGAGACACATCCACCCGCCACCTCGCGAACTCCCCGTGCCAAGGCAAGTCCCTTTGCACGAGGAGTGGGGGGCAATTGATGAAGAAAGATTTGGCCCAACCTCGTAACCACTCAACACGTGGCAAAGGCAACAGCTCGGCACAACAGCACGCCCAAGGCGCGAGCTCCGAAAGGAGGAACCAGCGGTCCGAACTCCCTACAAGGAGCCCGAACTCCCCGTAAGGAGTCCGAGCTCTCCCTTAGACCCCGAACCCTACCAACACAAAGGGCAACAACCCGAACTGGCCTGCCTCATGGCAGTTCGGGCCACACCTCTATCCGAACTCAAGACTTAACCTCACACACCACTCCAGCACTTCGCCTCCAGGACACCGAACTAAACAAACCGCACCGTATCTGACACCGAAGGAGTCCGTATCCAGGGGCGGCACACCTGACTGACTTGGGATCTGATGCTTGACAGTTGCACTTCAACGGCCACCTGCCACCGCCATCTCCAATTACAGAGACGGCTCCGACAAAGAGAGCAGTGGCGGTTCTGCCCCAGCAGAGGTGATGACACCCGAATTGGCAGAAGCACAGAAGTAATCATACCCGACTTAACAGAAGCTTAGGAGTGAGTGCGCGAAGTGGTTTTAAAAGGCTCTCTACCCCCCAAGAAAAATGTATGTAAACTTTGCGCCATCTGGTTTTATCTTGCCTTTGAGAAAATACTAACTTAAGCTTCGGAGCATACTCACCGGGTTCTTCCCCGGAGATTACTCTCTTTCCCCTTCGTTTCAGGCACCTTCTGCTCCAGTCCGAGGCAAGATCTTTGACAGGTAGGACCCGCCAGATTGCGCACCATCACAACTGATAACAATACAAGTGGTAACGAATCAGCCGGCCGGCATTCATCAAAATTCACCGACAGAGGCAAAATTGTAATTTTCTTTCGATGTAGGCAATTTCTGTAAAATGGGCCCTCGCCTGTTGCAATATTGGTTGCAGCAGATAACGATCACATGCAAAACACTATTTCTCCGATAATGGATGTTTCAGTTTGATAGGTTAAGAGAATAATTAACAAAATGAATGCTTTAGGGAAGTTAAATTCATGCACAGTGAACACAGTGAAGGAGGTATTTAAAACTTGAAAAGAAATAAAGTCCTTCTATATCGAAAGATAAAGAAAAGAATCAAAGATGGTTCATATTGCCCATCATCTATATACCTGTACAAACAAATGATCAGACTATGGCTGTGAATGGGTCGGGCAGAGCCTACAGAACCCAACACAACCAACCCAATTATATATATTGGTTTCGCGTCTGCATCACCTGTTACAATGGGTCAGTATCGACTTGGATGTTCTGAACTGATTAAGACCTGAACCGAATATTTGTGTCAATGGGAATGGCTGTCAATATGATGATCTGTTACTCCATTTGATTACTCATTTTGAATGTTAAAATCTGTATCCTTATACATATATTATAAAATTTCTTAATTTTTATTTTATTAACAATAGAGTGGAGTTGGAGTAAATCCATATCATATCTGAATCTATCCGATGCTTTGGATTTCCAGATCAAAGTCAAATAGGAAATTTCAATATATGTATCTGAATTGGGCCCAATTGCAACACTTTGTATATATAGGTTTCTTTGCCTTTTCTTTTCTTTTTTTACCTTTTCCTTCAAATCATACATAGCCTAAAGGCTTGATTTTAAAGGAATACATACAAATACAAATATGTAGTGCAAAACCTTATATTTTGTATTATTTTATAGTACTTGTATCTTTTGTTAGGACTCAGTTTGAAAGGAGTATAAATACTAATGTCTAGGGTGGAAAACCTTGTATGTCATGTATTTGTATTGTAATTTTAAGCATTTTCATATCTTTTGTGCCCAAATTTAAGCTTAATCACCCATCTGATTTGAGATTGGTTGATCTAAATTCTTTTCTTTATAAAGATCTTTGAGTTCCTTCCAAAATCTAAGGAGAAGACAAAAGAGTCCAAAAGAATTAGCATTCATGTTATCCACTCCTTGGTTAATAATTTTATAGGACTTGATATGTTGGGAATGATGCAATGGACAATGTAACCTGTACGGTTACAAAAAGAAAGACAATATAATGTGGGCCTGGCCGCCTGGGCATAGGCTATAGTCTTTATCATATGGGCAAAGCCCAACCCATGATCACCTCTACACATAATCATTTGCATCGCATTTTAGGTCATGCATGCCATTCGCCATTTGCACCTAGTATAGGTGCCAAAAGCATTTCCAATAATAGCTTCACAGCTAGGGGTGTTCATATGGGCTAGGTTTTGTGTTCATTGATCGGGGTTTGCAAGTAAGAGTAACTAGGGTGTGGTATTTCAGTTCGAGGATAGCAATGAAGCATGCAAAACCAAGCCCCGTTCCCTCCCATTGTCATTCCTACATACCGAATCAAATTTTGAAAAAACTGCAAATCAAAATCAAACCCAAACCAATTGACTAATCAGTTGATTGGTTTGGTTTGGTTTTTGACCGGTTTAGTTATTTAATTTTTTTAGTCTTTTATATTAATAATATATATCATAAATAAATATATAACCATATAATATATTATATATTATAAATGACATATATATATATATATATATATTGTAAAAATATATGATGTTGAAAAAACACTATATCGGAAAGGCTTTGACCAAGTTTTGTTATAAGTTTCCCTCGTATCATATCTTTCCGGCATCACAATCCAATTCATATAAATAAGAAATTTACCCACACCTATTCACAAGATACTACAGCTTAGCTTTACATGGGATGCATCTCTACATGAATGGCAACATGCAGATGTTCTCAATGTGCGGTTATAGTTAGTGATACGGTGATCCGAAGTTTCGAACCGATAAATATATACCGGTCGGTTCGATTAATTGGGTATTTCAGTTTTTGAGAAGCATCCTCAATTCCTGATTGTCACTTCTTTCTCTCTATACGATCCCAACCACGTTGACTGTTAAGATGTTTTATTGGTAGTGGTTGTCCCACTGGATCATCATCATCCCTTCATTTAATGGCGCTTAAGTCAATAATCTGGCCTAGTTGCCTTCATTATTGTTTGGGAGCGTATAGAGTGCAAGCGCAGGCGCTCCGCCCTCGCGAGTCTGGTCCAGGCCTCCGGGGCCAATTGAACGAGATGAATTTTGCCGCCAACTACTGTATCTCAACGGTCAAATAATAGTTCAAATTTCGAACGCTTACCACTTACCATGTCCAACGCACATTTCCCTCTCTCCTGTCCCGCGTAGGCTTCTTCTGCTGGATGACATTTCGCTTCTCTCACACACGGACACAATCAAACGGATGGTTTTATTCCTAAGAAGAACCTCCCATTCACCACCACAACACAATCAGACCTTCTTCAATTCCGAAAATCTCATCATCTGGTAAACTTGCTCTTTAACTCTCCTTCTTTTTCTTCCCTTGTGCTATCTTGTTTTCTGCCTTTGTTGCTTCAGCTTTTCCCTATACTGGATTTCGTTTAAATTTGGTTTCTTTATTGTTAATCTTTTCTTGGATGTCAGCTCTGCAACAAAATATCTGTTATTTGAAAGAGGGCGGAGAGATTAACGAGAATAACGAAAGCTTTCGCCAAATTGGATTCCAATTCACAGAACCCGAATATATTGGCTGCGAACAACTTCATGTCGCCGACGACTTCCGCTGCTTTAAAGGCTTCTTTACCAAGAAAGAAGATCTTGGCCGAGAGGAATGATCACTCTGGACCGTTATCCTCCGTTTCTCATGTCCTGCAAACCCCTCATGTTGATGCCGAAACCCCTCCTGCAGGTTCGGATTTCGGTAGTCGCATTGGCTATTCGTCCCGGAATGCGAACTTCTCGTCTAGGGCTTCTGAATTAGATGAATATCAACAGAATGCTTTTGTTCCTGAATCGTCTTCCCAGCCGTACGATCCCTTAACAAATTACCTCTCGCCAAGGCCCAAGTTCCTTCGGTACAGACCAAACAAGCGGCTTGAAAAATATATCCGCAGACGGAATGAACCGGTAAAAGCCAAAGATGAGTTCGGAGGCAATCGATATGCTTCGTTTGAAACCCAGAAACCGATCGAAGGTGAAGCATCCATTGACGCGTACGCTTCTATATCCTCCCCGTCCTCCACTTCTTCTTCGCGAGAGGGTTCTGTTAAGCAAGAACAAGGGTCGAATCTTAGCACTGAAAAATTGGGGCCTAGGCCACCGTCAGATGAAGATAATAACGGAAGGGAGGAGAGAGATGAGAATGTTAATGAGTTAGAATTCGAAGAAAGGTACGGGCATTTCAATGAGGTACTTAAATCTCTGCTTCTCTTTGGAGTTGTGATCCTTTCTACCTTGTACATATCTTCTATGAACTCTCCCACACCTCCCCCTCTTGTTCAAGCTTTACAAGATTTCAAAGTATGCTACCAGAAGATCCAGCGCCATCTACTCCAAGTTGCTGCAGAGAATTTTAGATTGGATAGTAATTTTATATACCGAAAACAAGAAAATGCTCTGGGCATCATCCAACCCAATGAGAGAGTTAGTGACGTGTATAATGAGAAGGAAAGGATTTTTGAACAGGGTTTGCAAACAAGGTGGGAGATAACTGGTAAGAAGGATGGAGTGTCCAACCAACAAGGTAGACAAACTAGACAGGTTTCAGACAATGAATCGGAGGAAGTAGGGGAGATTTCTGAACCTTTTCCAGCTTGTGAAGCCCAAGTCATGTCGAGTTGGGTGGACCAGCAAAATACAGCTTTTTCTATTTCCGGTCTTTCAGAGGAAGAGCTGAATTTAGAGAAAGATGACCTTAATGCTGCTGAATTAGTTTCTGAAATGGAAAAACCAAAGGATGTAACCAATGCAGAAGCAACCGGAAGAGACACCCATCAGGGCATTGGGGAAGAAATGGTGGTTGAGAATACAATGGAGGAAGCAAAGGATATTCCTGGTGGGATGCATGGAAATGTTGCACCACAGTGTAGAGAACATGCTATCTTCAACTCCCCTGGAATTGACGAAAAGTCTAAGCATAAGCATGTTAAACCTGTGAAAGTTGACTCGGTTTTTAAATTTGCTCTTCTGACTTCTGTGGGCTTGGTATCTACTCTTTTGGGAGTTCTCCATCTCAAGCATAGGAAGACCTTTCCAAAGGATTCTGCATCTTCTGGATTAATGATAGTAGATAACCGAAGTTCACCATCTCCCAGGACAGAAGAAGAGAAAATCAATAAGGTTGATTCTTATGTCAGTATTTCACCTTCAGTTCATTCCGAGGGGAAAGCCTCCAAAGAAATCAATCAAGGTAGTGCACCGACAGTGGAGTTGCTGGAAGAGTTTGTAGTGGAGGAGCTCAGTAATTCTATCAAGGGCTGCAGTATGAAATCCCAGAGGATAGAAGGCGAAGGAAGCCACTTTTCTATGTCTCAAGGGAGGCAGATCCCTTCATCTAAGCTGGGAGATCTCAGTAGCTCTCTCAGGAGCTGTGGTCTGAAGCCCCAGAATGTTGAAGGTATAGAAAGCAACTTCTCTGTCTCTCAAGAGAAGCGATCAAGGAGGCGGATTCCTTCATCTCCTAAGCAGGCATTCCAAACTCTTTCCGAGTTCTCAGCCACAGAGTCCCCTTCATTTGGAAGCTATACTGCTCAGGAGGTTGTGGTGAAGAAAGAGGTAAGAACTTTATTGCTATTTGTTTTCCGTGTACCGGCTATTCTATGTTTTCTGGTCATATACTTCTGATTGCTCTTTTTCTGTCACAATTTGGTTAGACTATGAAGAAGCAGGAACACATTCAATTATTCACGCCACCTCCATCATCTAATTAGTAATTATGCCTACAATATGATTCTCGGCTAAGAAGGGAGTGGAGAAGTGAAAGTTCCGTTTTGCATTATTCATTACACTAATTTTGGAATGGATCCTGAACTAATGAATACAAATATTTAATTGTTCCTTTTGTACATGCTTCTCTATGCCGATACGTCCATGTATGTACATGTATATTGATGTGCATATGCTATCTTTAATGCATAATAAGTCTACTCAAAAGAAAGTTAAAAAGTTTATTATCATATTAACAATATAATGTTATCACATAATCAACAATGTTATTCTATTATATAACAGAAAACCAATTAAATGTTATGGCAGAGCATCAATATCACATAATAGTACTTGAATAACGTAATATCTAAAACATTATGCACCAAAGCATCTAAATGCTTTACAATGTAACATCACCCTTTATGGATGTTTTTGGTGTCCATATCATGGCTTTCTTTTCCCAATATATGATGACATTATCAAATGACTAGGACATCATTTTATTTTCTTTCTTTTTTCTTCAGATTAGGTCGTCCTATATATTTTGCCGACCAATATAGTACTACTGAAAATACAAACTAACTCGTTGAACAACTAGTTTTGCTTGTTGCACTTGAAGCATCTTGAGACAAGATAAATATCAAACTCATGATTCCTATTATGATAGATTTTATGGATCCTTTACTTATTTTAGTTTGAAATTGCATCTTAGTTGGTTGAAAAACAATTTTCACATTGTCTCATCATTTATTCTTTAAGATGACCTGATTTACTACAACAACTAGTCGCTCTTGTTATAATTTGCTTGATTTGTATGCATGAATAGGAGGGTAGGAATGGAGATGAGGTGATGAAGATTATCACAACTCCCGTGAGGCGATCAAGTCGAATACGCAACCGTGCAGTCATGTCACCCTGAATTTAATTACAAGCTGACCTTAGGAAGTATTCTTCTGAACACTGATGATTCAGAAAAAAAGCTTCCTGTTTCATCATGTTATTACTATCCTCTGCTATGTTTTCTTGATGTAGAATTAAGCTGCTTTTCTAACATCTCTCAAGTGGCTTGTATATTTTTTTGAAAGAAATCAGTCATTGGTTAATCATTATTATTCAAACACCGGCCATTGTCTTTTTCATTCTACAATTTTCAATCTGTCCCTAACAACAGCAGATTCATAAATCTTAAATTCTTAGATATTTCCTTATCATTGTCATTGTCATCATCTGTCACCGTCGGTTCTTTGTCAGCACTGTCTTGTCACCATTCTACATGTTCTACTTATCAGTTTTATTATGTTACCGCTAAGAATATGCAAGGTTGGAAAGCTATGTGGAACCTTCCAAAGCATAATACAGTGTCATATGTACTCATACCGACCATTCTGTCTTCTCTATGCTTCCCTTTTGACTTTATCTCACTTCTTTACACAAGGGAAAGACATTTGGTTACTAAAATTATTTACTTACAGTGTTGATTAGGGCACATCCCAATTTTCATAAAGGACCACATATCTTGTGGAGAGACAATAGGTGCCCCTATTAAAGTATGTAGGTTCGTAAGGGTGTCTCTCTTTTCAAAACATCACATATGGTCTATTCACTGGGGGTGTGCCCTATTTATAAAGAATGGGATAAGCTTTCATCATAACTTATTTCTTTCTTTATTATCATCATCAGCAGCAACAGTCATTATATTGGTTTTATTGGTATGGCTTGTCCTATTATATTGTTATTTCAAAATAATAAACAAGTAGGCAGTTAGTGTTTTCTTTAAGTGATCCTGGCTTTGGAAGGCCACCTTGCCCTTTATATACTACATTTTCATGGAGTACTCTTTGAAAATGTCCAAGGAAATCCCATTTAGAATTTAAAAGAAAAAGATTAGAAAGAGAGAAAAAATAACCTCTTATCTGTAATGTAATACTGATAGGTTGGCCAGTTTTCTAGTGATGCTCCTGTATTGAAGTTTAGTCCTTGCAGGCCTAACTTCCATTATCAATTTTAGTCCTTAATTACTCCTCAGCTGTTTCCAAAATCACATTCTGTAGTTAAAAGCTTCGTGTAGGTTAAACAGCAAGGAGAATTCAACTACTGCGTAAACCCAACTGTGTTTATTGACAAATCAGTCATATATGGACCTTTTTAGTGTTAAAGACGCTGTCACAGTAGCCAGTAGATTCATATTGATTTACTACTTCAGTCTTCAGCTTCTCAAACAAGTAGGAAGCCGTTAAGGAAGTGAAGCACTTCCTTCTGTCATATCTACAATATTGGAATGTGCTTTTGTGGCTTCGCTGAGTGTGGTGCGACATTCCAGCACTTTGCAATGCCGCCAAGTGACATGAGAGTTGGGGTGGGCAAAAATCACAAAGGATAGAATGGTCTTTCAGAGGAGCAGATGCAATGCAATAGGGGATTAATGGCTTGAAGGCTCTTCAGAGGAGTGGAGGCACCTGAATTTCCGGTTTGGAACCAAACTTCTGTGAACACAACAGAGAGTCTACAACTGTGATAGATAAGAGCAAATGAATGACTAGGATTTATACCTGTAAAATTATCAAATTGCAGCTATAATAAAAAAACAACAAAGAAAAGCTTGGTGGAGACCTGATTGTAAACTCTGTTTTCTGGGAGTTATCAAATTGTAGACGGAATGGGATACGCGTACTCAATTACAAGACAAAGATATTGCATCCAATGGGATGAAAGAATTGGAGTCTGGACGACAAAGTATTCCTACCAGTCAGATAACTGTCAAATTCGTGAAGTTTTTGACTGATTCTATAAAATAAAAACAGATGAAAGAAAGCGAAGAAAGGTTTTGTCTGCACCAACTTTGGCCATACAAAAAAGAAAACAATTTACAGGGCTACTAGTGCTAGTGCTAACCAATGGCGTCAAACCCTCGTTTGTCATTAGTCATTAGTCATTACCAATTACAAAACAAATATGAATTTAATTCAAAAACACAGGTAGGTTAGGTTAACAATTATTAGAGAGCTGCATCTCGTCTATATAAGTATGATACGAGCGAGCGATAACACCACATATCTGGAACCTTGTGTTATCAAGCCATGTGGTTCTGCAACCACATTTGTCTGTCCAGGTGGGCTCTCCTCCTAAGCCATGTCCATCCCAGATGTGTGCTATCAGATGAGAGCGCTTTTTGCCTTCAAGCTTAAAGAGCAATCCAGGCATTTTTCGCTTTTGCGCTTAAAAGTAGAAAGAAATCTTCCGAGTTCAAAATACACAGAACAGAGACTGAGACACAACCACACCCAACTTAATATGACATCCTTACAGGAGAGACGCTCAATGCCCACAAAACCATCTATGTTTAGAATCAACTCCACCGCCACCGCGCTACTCATAGCCACCACCTCTCTCTCGATCCTCCTCTTCATCATCACTTCCCCGCCCCCACCTCCCAAATCGTCCTATTACTCTCTATACATTTCCAAGTCCCTCTCTGACAACGCCACCATATCACAGCACCTCTTCGCCCTCACCCGCCGACCCCATGTCGCCGGCTCCGAGGCCAACGCCGAAGCCGCCGCTTACGTCCTTTCCACCTTCAATTCCTACAATCTCCGATCACATATCGTATCCTATGACGTGTCCCTCACGTACCCTCTATCGAGGACCTTAAAACTGACACGCCCACCACCGGACCCAGCAACTACATTCGACCTCCGTCAGGAAATATACCCCGGCGACCCGTATCCCGACGTGGCGAACGAAGTTCTACCCACCTTCCACGCGTACGCCAAATCGGGTACTGCAGCGGGATTTGCTGCGTACGTGAATTATGGACGCGTGGAGGATTACGTGACATTGAAAGAAATGGGAGTTAATGTATCGGGTGCTGTAGTTTTGGCCAGGTACGGCGAGATATACCGAGGCGACATCGTAGAGAATGCATACGAAGCAGGCGCCGTTGGGGTAGTAGTGTTTACTGATAGGAAGGACTACGGCGGAGGAGCAAGTCATAGGTGGTTTCCGGATGACAAATGGATGCCTCCAAGTGGGGTCCAGGTGGGCACCGTGTACGGTGGCGCCGGTGATCCTACGACGCCGGGGTGGCCTAGTACTAGTCCTTGTGAGAGGCTGTCCAATAATGAAGTTGAGAGGCGAGGAGATGTCCCGCTTATACCGTCCTTACCCGTATCGGCAGCGGATGGTGATATAATCATGAGATCCATCGGTGGACAAGTAGCAAATGATGATTGGCAGGGCAGCGCAGATGCACCGCTTTACAGGGTTGGAACTGGGCCTGGTTTTCTGAATCTCAGCTACACTGTAAGTGACTGAAAATTGTAGTACTCAAAAGATGACCGAAGTTAGCAATTATTATATGCTTTAGTTGCATTTTCCAGAGATGTAGCAGGAAATGCTTTCCTGTTCGGATTGCCTCAGAGCTCAGGGATCATCAATATCCCCTCCTGGTCTGAGCAGAGTAGTCATTAAAAGCTTGGCATTTTACTCAATCGGGGATTTTGATTTAATTTTCAGGGAAATCAAATCATAGCTACTATCCAAAATGTTATTGGTGTGATCGAAGGTGCAGAAGAACCCGATCGGTATGCTTTGATATCATTCAAAAACATCATTTCTGATTACCTAGTTTCTTTCCATGCCTTCCACATGGCATAGTTAATAAAATATAAAAAAACGACATCAATTAGGCTCCTTTTGACAATTTAATTATTGACAAATTACATGCTGCCTGCTGGTTGCTTCTTATCTGTCTGTCCGTGTCATTCAACTCATCACCTCCTGTCATTTGCCTCTGATTTTTGTCCTTTGTTTCCTGCATTGATTTTCACATATTTGGTTACTGGAAATATTCTCGATATTATGGTTTGGATCCTCTGAACATTAGAACTAGTTCTAGGTTCACCACGCCTTGAAAAAATTGGGTATAGGAGAAAATTCAGGCCGAGCAGAGGGCTTTGATCCTCAGATATGGGTGAAGATTGGATAGCTAAAAGTCTGTAGCCAGTCGATTTGTTGTGTTATGGCTGTGGTCCATCCAAAACAGCTATCCACATACTGAATTATCATATCAGTTAGTTATGAACCATGTGACTGGTATGGAAGGTAAGGTACAAAGCGGATTTTACTGCTTAACAATCTGGTAAATTGTTAATATGCCATCAACAATACTACATAGTTATGAATCATCAAAAGCAGACATTATGTTGTTGTGCTCTGGAGATTTTGATTCTAAATTAGGGTAAATTATCATAATCTTCTTTGTACCTTTAGGTGCGTACTGTGTAGATCAATGTAAATTGCCTTACACACTTCCATGACAACCACTTTCTATTTATCATTATCATCTATGTTAGCTATACCTTTTATCTATTTAATAAAGAAAACAATGAGATTGTGAGTAGTAGTAACCTTAACTACACCCGACTTACAGAATTCAGTTCCTAATTTACCTCAAAATATTCATTTTGTCTTCCTCACATGATGGTTATTACATATAGATTTGTTATTTTGGGTAACCACCGAGATGCTTGGACCTTTGGTGCAGTCGACCCTAACAGTGGAACTGCAGCATTACTAGAGGTGATTTTGGATTTAAAGGTTTTGTTGCAAATTGGTTGTTGTTATGCAAACGACCACTATGTTCTACTCCTAAAACAATCAATATGTTCAATTATCAATTTATGCTTATATTTTTTGAAGTGTAGATAGCTCGAAGACTAGGGAAGCTACAGAAGAAAGGGTGGAAACCTAGACGAACAATTGTCTTGTGCAATTGGGATGCTGAGGAGTATGGCTTGGTCTCTCCCTTGACTTCCGTCTCTTTTTGATCTGCATACACACCACAAACTCATGCTTAAATACATATCATTTACACTTGGCACATGTAAACAGTCCAGAATTTTGCAGGTAGGGTCAACAGAATGGGTTGAAGAGAATAGGGAAATGCTAGCTTCAAGGGTTGTTGCTTATTTGAATGCCGATTGTGCAGTCTCTGGCTCAGGATTTCATGCCTCTGCGACTCCTCAGCTTGATGAACTACTCAAACAAATCACTCAACAGGTAGTATCAGACATTTGTAGAAGCATAAGCAATATGATGCACATACATTAACATAATTGAACATAAATAAATATTTATAATTTGGACTTGTGAATAAACAATGGCAACAGTGTTTGCAATTGCAAAATCAACAAGAGCTATGGTAGCAGTATGAATGATAGCAGTAATACTACTAGGTGTTGATGTTTGTACTGTTTTTTTCTCTCACTTCACATGATCAAACTCTTGGTTGTTTCATAGGTTCATGACCCAGATAATTCTTCACAAACAGTATATGGATCATGGATCGGTACAAGGGATTCCCCAGTGGTAAGCATTTGCCCTATGGGTATAACTTCATCTGTGATATAAGTTCAATAAATACCTTAAAGAAAAGAGATGAATATGGTTCTCGGGGTAGAAATGTGGGAAAAAGGTGTTGGTGGCTTAGTTGGTATAGTCTGGAGGAGTCAAACTCCAGACCCAGGATTGTATCCTGCCTTCATAGTTACAAAATATTAAGTATTAACTACTGAACCTTGGGACTCATTTCCCATCCATAAAGAAAAGAAGGAAAAAATAATCATATGTACAGTAGATGTTTCCCGTAGTTCATAATAAGTCAGCAAGTTACAACTCAAATGAGTTTTATACATCTCATCAGCTCGTTAATGATTAAATCTTCTCCTACCATAGATTGGGAGGCTAGGATCCGGTGGTTCAGATTATGCAGCTTTTGTCCAGCATGTTGGAGTTCCATCTGTGGACATGTTCTTTGGGGGAGGTACTTATCACCTTTCTTGTTGCAAGTTTCTCTTTATTTATTCTGTTTGACAGAAATAAATAAATAAATATCAAAAGTTTTCATTGGTAGAAATGCTGCATGGACCTTAAGATGCCTCTTTCTGACAAGCTTTGCATGTTCCCACCCTTATTTGCAAAAAAAAAAAAAAAAGAAAAGAAAGAAAAGAAAAGAAGAGAAAGGAGAAATAGAAAAGAACCATCCTGCAAACATGAAGGTAATTTGACACTATACTCTCAGGAGAGATGTCTTTCCTCTTAGGTTGCTTAATGCAGAAGATAATTTATAATATTTGAATTAATTCCAACCAGATCTTAAACTTAACAGAAAATGGTTCAAACAAGAATTTAATAGAACAAGCAGAAGCTCCAGGCATTAGTGCATTCATGCTAAAGAATATCAAAATGAATTGCAACCTTTTCTTCATTGTGTCATTTCATCTATGGCAAGCCAAATGGCAATATAATCAACTAACAGAAAACCTGAATGGTTATTTCCAAGATCTTTTTCCATTCTGCCTTTGGTTTTAGGCACATTATATTTCCATTTTGTCTTGGACTGGAATATAGATAGCTTTTATGTGTGTGTGTGTATCACTTTCTTTCTAATTTATTTAATAAACTAAATTGAAGGGGGGAGTCTTATCTACTTAAATAAGATGCTGCAGGGTACATACCATATGTATTCTCTACACACATATGACATGAAGAAATAAATGGAATGCAGACCACAAAATTAGCTACCTTTCTGAAAACATTATCTAGTAGGATCTATTTCTGGAGTAACCATTTCTTTCCCACCTTATTCTGAAGAAAGAAGGTATTCTATGTTGACATGCTTCTTTTTACTTCTGGAAGACAGGACTATTGGCAAATTGACCTCATGGACCTCATGGACCTATATTGTGATAACAAGGGCTCTAATTCCTATTGTGTTTGAACTCTCCCTAAGCTCTTCATTTAGCAAAAAAGGGAAGCCCAGTGCACGAGGCTTCCACCGATGCGGTTTCTGGGGAGGGACAGATGTATGCAGCCTTACCCCTGCTTAAACAGAGATGCTGTTTCCAAGATTTGAACCATGGTCACCCCGATCGCAATAGAGAAACCCACCTGTTGCATCAAGTTCCACCCTCAAGTTCTTCATTTAGCAATATACTTGAAAATAGTTCCACCTTTTCTTGACTTCCTCATCTTTCACGAAAGCTCTTCCATTGTCACTCTTATACATCTAACATGATTTAGATTCTTACTTTCATCTCTCTTTCCATTTGCAAGTTCTACACAATGTTTTAAAATGCGGAGGCGTGATGCGAGGCGTTCCACTACCTAGAGGCATTAAGCATAGTTCAGAACACAAGAGGGTAAGCCTCCCAAACACAAAGTGGTGTAAGCCTCCTTAAGAGGAGGGGGTTAGGAGGAAGAAAGAGGAAGGGGGGATCTCATTTTTTCTTTATTTTTAATAAAAATATTTTATATTAAGAAAAAGATGCGTAACATTAGTTGAAAGGGCTGCATCAAAAAGGGGGGCAAAGCCCCCCAGCTGAAGGGGCAGGAGGCAAACCACTTTCTTTCCCCTTAGCTTTTCTTCCCTTTCCTTTCCTTTTCTTTCCTTTTCTCTTTTTTTTTTTTCTTCTCTTTCTTTTTCTTTCCCTTTCCTTTCTTTTCCTTTCCTTTTTTTCTTCTTTTCTTATTTTTCCCTATCTTTTTATATAAGATGTGCATGAGGCGTACGCCTCTAGCATGCCTCATGAAAAAAGCATATGGGGTGTATGCCTCTTGCACCTGAGGCATACACCTCAGAGGTATCAGCGCCTCTGGCATACGCCTCAGGGCGTTTTGGGAGCTCCTTGCCTAGAGGCGCGCCTCTAGGCGTACGCCTCCCACGCCTTTTAAAACACTGGTTCTATATACATTGTGTTCTTCCTCCCTCATAAGTGAAGTTCATAACAGATCTTATTTAGCTTCAGTTACCATTTCCTTGTCTCCTATTTGATCATTAAGTGTTCATCTTTCTTTTAAGGTATTTTATTATTTTCTTGAGAAATTGTAGGCATTGTCACTGTGTAAAGTGTGTATGTGTGTATTTATATTTATAATATAAACCAGCAAGCATATAGTACAACAGCCCTCTAGCCTCAAATATATATTTATATATTTTCAAGGAACTTGTTTGGGTATTGGTCATTCCTAGAGTTATCTTTTGTTATCAAGTTTCCGAACTTTGTACTTCTTGCATTCTGTGTTTACTTTAATTTAATGCTATGCTTTTTCTATTCATAACAACAAAAATGTTTTCAAAGTCAAATCTCCCTTTGTTTGTTTATTCATATTCATATTCCACATTAATATAAGCCATTGCATGTTGTTACATGTTAAGATCCTTTCCCTACATGATCATTTAAGTTGCCTCTTTCAAGCAATTTTTCACCATTTAAGAAGCCATGTATTATCCAAATTCTTTTGGAATTGTTTCTAAATGTTTCCATCTAATCTTATTTAAGGTCTCTATCCATTAATTGCATTTGCTAGTTCCTCTCTTACAACAAATCTAATCAAAATTATCCTGTTTATTATTTTCTGAGCATATGAAATTTCATTGTTTATATTTTGTCACTACCCCATTTCTGTCTTTTATTTCTTCTGTGTACCATAGTTTACATCCCATTAATTTTCTTAGCATTTTCCTTTTCCATCAAGTCTCTTCCAAACTCACTATTCTCTTTCTTCTGTTACTAATTTCATGCTTGTACCTGCCAAAATTCCTAAGTTACAGATTGCTAGGTGAATATTTGTTTCTTGGACTTGCTTACATATCCAAAATGGTGGCGAAATCATTCCCCCCTTCTTGAGTGACTAAATATTCTGCAAGATATTGTTCCTTGATGATGATGTGTAGCTTACCCTCACTCATTTCTCACGAAATGGGTTAGATAAAGTACATTGCTTACATGCGACACCCTAACATGAGCTTAAAACAACAAATTCAGGATTTTGCCAAAGTTTTATGTTGTCTAACAGCCTGAGTCAACCATCCTTTATCAAGGCTTGAACTAGTCAATTCAAGACAAGCTAAAAACTAGAAGAAGTGCTTAATCTATTTATATTTCTTTAATTGTGAACCTTCTAATACAAGCATGAGAAGAAGAGATGTTGACCATGTTCTTTGTTACCCTAGCCACTTCCCTTTTTACTACCATTAATAGCTTCAACCGTCATTTCTTTAGTCATGGGCTTATTCCAAAGTAATAAAGAGGTTTCAACTGTTATACATATATCATTGCTGGTATGTAGTGATGAGCCTTTGGTATTTGCATCTGCAGAAATATATGGTTTGTGATCTATGTATCATTATATTTTGAGCTGAATCTGCTGGTTACATATTTTCTACTTGCTAGCTGCATTCCTGGATCCCCAATAGTGGTTCACCACATGTCCTAGACCTGTGTGAATACAGACCATGTACATAGTTGTCAAGGCGACAAGGCGCCCTTGGAGGCTCACCTCGCCCAGTCGCCTAGCAGTTTTGTATTGTGTCTTATAAAATACTTTTAAACTGTTACTTTTTTGAGATTATAATTATAAAATAGACATTATTAAACAAAAACATTCATTTTTTTGTGTTTATAAACTAATTTCTTTTTATTATTTTTTTATTTGTTAGGGTTTAATCAACACAAACATTGCTAACTGCTGTATTGAACACTCAAAGACTTCAGAATTTGAACCAATAAGTAAGGGAAAAACTTAAAGTTTTGTCTAATCAACACATTTCTTCCTCCACGTCTTCTTCTTCTTCTTCTTCTTCCGCCTTTTCTTTTTTTCTTTTCCTATAACAAAAATAGGGGTTCAGTCCTCTTATTTGTTGAATTTTCTTTTCTTTCTTCTTTTTCTTCTCATAAATATGTTGATTTTCTAGACATAAACATGAAGTTTATAATTTTCTTATGAAAATTATGGATAGTTATTAAGGAAAGATGGTTATGGAACCTAGGGAACTACCTAGGATATGTATTTTTCACTTAAAAAAATCCATTGCCTAGGTGACTAGGCGACAAGGCGCCCCCCTGTCGCCTAGCCTCGCCTTGGCGCCTTAAAAACTATGACCATGTGTTTCACCCGCATTTACATATAGATGTTCACGATTCTACCACATTTTCACAATTCCCTCATTCAAGTGAGAAAATATAGAACAACTTTCACACAGCCTGCATTTACATGGTCAGAGGATAGCTGGCACATTTCTTTTTGGTGATCTAGTTAACATGCAACTAACCTTTCTTAGTATAGTTGGATAGCTGATTAATGTAAGTCTGTACCTGATGCAGCATACCCTGTCTACCACTCAATGTACGATGCTTTTGTTTGGATGGAGAAATTTGGTGACCCAATGTTCCATAGGCATGTAGCAGGTATTTCTTGTATTTATTAAGGATTTATTCATTGTTCAATTCTGACAACAAATGGCAATACCATATTCATTGTTCATATTTCTGGATTGCAGTGAAGTGACTTGATATATCTAGTAATATGCTAAAAATAGATTCAGTGTACATCAATACTGTAGGGCTGACACCCCTTTCCCATTCAATTAAAGACGGGATCATAATGGTTTGATATGTTAATTGAACTCCAAATGCTTACCTTATTTAGTCAGTTTAACGATTTGGAAAAAATATCGAAGGGCTATACCCAAATAGCATTCCAAAAGATATTACCACTTTGATTTGATTAGTCCTATTTGTAAAACCATAGCCCCTGACTTTCTTATATTCACTTTTTCTAAAACAGTGGCAAGCATCTGGGGATTACTTGCTCTTAAACTTGCCGATGAGGAATTCTTGCCTTTTAATTATCTTTCCTATGCATGTGAGCTGCAGGTAGATAAACACTTCTATCAGTCTGTCTACTTCTCCGTCTTGTATATGTTGAGTGTATTGAGAGATATATGGATGGATTATTGAAGTATGGCTAAGTCATTCCCACTATTGTTATATATGCGCACAAAGTTGCCTTTGTGCATAAGTTCACTGCATAACCATGCATGAGATATGCACTCAAATTCAGCTAACATGATGTAATAAAATGCAACTGATAGAGTCTCAAATAACAGAAAAGTGCAAAAGAAATAGAAGATGAGGTTTCTGGAAAAGGTGTCACTGTCATTCCATTGTACAAGTCCATTGGCAAACTCAAGAAAGCAGCAACCAAAATCAAAAGCCAAATAAAGGTACTAAATAAGCTTCTCTAAGACAATTGATAAAGACATGTTTTAGCAAGTTTGGTTATTGAATAATGGTAATATCAATATATCATGCTTTAGGCATTAGAAGAAAGCAGTGGTTGGAGTTCAATGTGGAAGAAGGACCCCATCAAAGTGAGAGAGCTCAATGACAGGTTAATGATGGCAGAGCGAGCATTTACAGACAAAGATGGACTGTTTGGAAGACCATGGTATAAGCATTTGGTATGTATTTCCTCCACTAAAGTACTCAAAATTTTACAACATTGCAACCCCTCTCTTTGGACCTTAATGCAAGAATTATCATCCAATTAATGAATATGCATTTTTTGTGAAAAATATTCGAATAGACCAAAATTTGACCATTATTATAAATTTAGCAGATCTACGGTCCATCAAAGCATGATGATTACGGATCTAAATCATTTCCGGGGATAGATGATGCCATTGAAAAGGCTAAAAGCTTGAACACATTAGAAGCATGGCGGTTTGTACAGCATGAAGTTTGGAGGGCCTCTAGAGTTGTCACACATGCATCACTTGTCCTAAGTGGTGAATTCACATGAATGAGTTCTATGATCATCTCATGCATTTTATTATAGAAATGCAATCTTCTACGGATTCTACTAACTTTTATCAGTCGTTTTTATGGTTATAATTTTAATTGAAATCGTTCATTGAGCTAACAAAAAGGTCAGGTTCATGTTCATCATTAGCTGTTTCTTTTTACAATCTTGTCCTGATCGAAGGAGCAAGTATTGGTATGCAGCGATGCAGCATGCTTTGTTGGGTCTTAAATATACAAAGCTAACTTCTGAGTCCTGACCAGTACTGTCCAACTCGGACTGGACACAAAATCATTTTGGTCATTCCATTAGTTGAGAACACTGCTTATATAATTCATGGTTGAGTTCTAACTTAAAACAACCCAACCATCCGTTGAAGTCCGAGTTTGAGAACACTGCTTCTAATTATGGAATCGTAATTTAACATGCTCTTGGTCACTTATGATGAGTTTAACACTCCTGACCTAACATTTACATTCTTGATAATGTTTCATTCTCTGTGAGAGCTACTAATTAATGTTGGACTAGAAATTTAGAATTCATTAGAGCAGAACAAAGGAATGTTGCAGAGCAAAGGCTATCTTCTAATCCCAACTGTCATTGGATGATTATGTCATCAGTGTAGGGATTACTGACATTGTCTTCTTACTTTTTAGTTGTTACCCATCTTGAACAGTGATGCCAAAACCTTGCAGCAGCCTTAATCCCTGATGTCAATAAGGAAAAAGAAATTTCTGATGTCGCATCATGGTGCTAGTCAAGTTCTTTTTTTTTTTCTTTGTTCTGTAAAACAGAAATATTTCCAAACCCATAGATCATTTACCGGATCAGTGGTAGAAGTTAGACCGATCAGATCAAAAGTCAAGAAAAAGATAGTAATGGAATCAGCATTCAGAGAGGTCTCTCTCCCTGACATGTTCCATGAAATATAGAAGCTCTTGATCCTTCCTATCCAACTACTCAAGGAGAGGACTATATATATTCATCTCCTGACTTGACCTGCTGCAAACACCAATTACCTGTTACTCTGATAAAAATCCTCCGGTGCTATTTGCATCATGATATGTGATCCTTTTCTTGTTTTCCCTTGCTGTGTTTCCCTACCTTTCCTTTCGGACCAAACACAGCCTTATAAAATGCCTCCCAGAAAACTCTGTTACCGTCGTACATAAAAATGAGCCATCCATACATTTACGTTTCGCTTTACCTTGTTACCCATAAACAGCAGGATAAGGGCCGGATAAGGTGTCACGGGCTCACAGGATACAGAACTTACACCAACAATCGAAATATACAACAAGATAATAATAGGCATATAGATCCCCTGATTATCTTTACTTCCATACCTTGATTGCACACCACTACTGCTTGATATCAAGAGTCTCTGAAGGCAGAGAGAGAGAGTGTAGCACGACGGCAACCTGCAGTGAACCCCAAATAAATTTGGATTCATTCTACTCTGCGCTTGATTTCGATTTCAATTTCAGTGAACTGCGAGCTGTTTAGATTCAACAGACAGCAAACTAGAAAACAAAGGCAAGGACTTTGAGGTTAGGGCTTAGGGGTGTTCTTTCCTCCTACGAGATGTGGGTAGAGTCATGCGAACCCCTCCAACTCCAATCCAGATTGCTTATTTTACCAAATTGCCCCTCAATCGATCACCATTGTTACATGTAGTCTATACCATAACATATCAGCGATCAAGGATATTATGTCCTACCAATCCATCCATCCAACGGTTTTAGCTCAAAGAGGATAACATCGTATCAATCTCTGGTGCTCTCTTTTGTACATTAATGATTCTCGGTTTTCTTCTGGTTCTGGACTGGAGTCTATTTATTATTTTATTTCCAATTTTCCATTATTAGGCACAAGAGTGAACCCATCGTTATCCCGTCCAAACTCCGCAAGTCCGCATTCGAGTAATGGTTATACTGGATGGATAGATCAAGAGAATATCCAGAGTGCCCCTAGGGTTCGCTCAAATCGTGAATCATCTTCGATCAGATGGTTAGGGCCATTAGAGGACACGACCAACGGAAAGATAAGCTCAGAATTCAGAAGCGGAAAAAAAAAAGACAACAGAAAAATAGGAAAGAAGAAGAAAATTCGTACGAAGAGTAGCAGCTGCAGATGGAACAATATTTACACATAAATTCTGAAACAGAAAGACTAAACAGTAACATCAGGCAGTGGCACTAACGTCCGCTGGATCTTCAAAATTGGGATCCTTGAAATCCACAGCTTCCTTCTCGAACCCAATCTCGGCATGCGAGTATCCATCACCGGACCATGTGAACTTGCCGCCATGGCCTCCCTTCTTCGGCGATCCGTTCATTCCGGTCGCCGATTTCCGATCCTTCCGAACGCCTTGGGTGGCTTTGCCATGATGATGAGTTTTGGAACTTTTTCCAGGCTCCCTCATTCTCCCTCTCGATGACTCGCTCTCCTCTTTAATGCTTTGCTGAATTGATCGCCGGTGGGAGTGAACTGATTGGTAGTGCAGTCTATAAATACCCGTTAACACTGTACGAAATTATTTACGATTTTCTTTCTCGACGGGCAGGCGGGCAGCCCGCAGGAAGCCCGTCTGTCGGATACAAAAGGATAAGGACGATAACGTGTACACATTATTTAGAAATAGCATGTTAACAGCATCACGTTATTTGGTGCATCCAACACTCTACACTCTACACGTGGAACGCCAACTGTAAATCTGGAGCATTCAGTTGCTGGCCCCGCTCCTAGATTGGCCATGATTCATCCAAATATCATGGATAATTGCAATCTGTCAAATATTTAGCCATTTTCAATACGACAATGTTGTCTTATCCCAGAACAGAGCCCATCACCATCAGTTGATCAAAGTGTCAACTCATTTACGGGGCCCACATACGTGTGGAATGCGGTAGTTTTGCAAACATGCTTCTACACAAACCTAAACCCCCAAGCTCCCAGTTTTTTTTTTTCTTTTTTTTTTTTTTTTCTTTTCCGGTTTTGAATACTGTGGTCCGTGAGGGCGAGGGGTATGCATGGGCGTTATAACCTTTACCTACTAATCTTATTCCTTAAGCTAGAAGACCGAAGGACCGACCATTGCCAATGCCAGTGAGCGTTTATGATCAAGTGGGCCCTGTAATAATATCCATATTATATTTCAATTATTTTTCTTAGTGTGGGCCTACCTCTTCAATTCTTTACTAAAATCCAAGATGAATCTTGTTCGTTTATATGGGATTTGTATATCCACTCAATCCTAATCCTAACCCTAACCCATCATCCCATCACATGTGGGAAGTCCATGTTTTAATGTTGTTACATGTTCTTGATGTGTGGCTGTAATGTCTTGTACGTGGATATAAGTGAATTTTTTGGATAGATGTATGACTACATTCAAGCATTGCTTGGTTCATTAAAATCCAATTAGATTATTATACATACGTATACCTTTTTTTCGAAATTTTATTTTGTGGAATAAATGGGATATATTAAATTTCTTTTTCTTTTTTGTCCCAAATTTTTTTCAAAGTAGAGAGGTAAATCTCAACCATTTTAAAATTTTATTAATGAATCAAAAAAAGTAGAAAAAATATTATAGGAGAGGACATAACCTGCGATAAAACAAAAGGGTTCAATTGATACAAGCTGATGTGCAAATGGGACATATTGGCGGGTTAGTTTAGGGCCCCGTCTACCCCGTGAAACAGATTAGACCCTGAAAATACTTAGCGTCTAATTGGCACTGATGTTGTTGCTCCAGAAAACAATGACATATCAGCATTATGTTGGAAAAAATGTGTTCCAGGAAATGCTTGTTTGTTCTGAATTGTTTTTTATAAAAATTGGTGTTTTAAGTTGTCTTGAAAATCGAGAAGGTATGGTTTGGAGCAACATCGAATTTGGAATTTTCTCATATTGTAGTTCATTGCTACCAATGAGGACGTGATGTGGCAGTGACGTGGACTTCCTATAATGGGTATCAGTATGAAAACAGACATGGAGCACTAGTACCAAACAGAAAGTATTGTTGTTGCTCCAGGAAATGTCCTACTTGACAACATCGTTTCCAAATAGAAAAAAATACACCGTTTCTCAAAAAATAGTGCTTCCAACCCACACATCAACAGCATCGATGCCAAACATATACTTGGTATAGATGTGTATCAAAGGGTCACTAATATGATATGAATTGACCGATACACCCGATTTGTGACTAAATTTTAATCCTTAAACCAACTTAAGACACTCAACCTAACTCCAAAGAAGACAGCAAAACATCAAAAGCATTAAACTAACCTTGGTAATTGAGGGCCCATTTGGCACACCTTTTTGGAAAGATCTTCTAGTAGCTCGGACATGCAAAAGATGCATTGAGCTTTTGCATGAAGATCTGAACAGTCCAAAGCACGTTTGGTAGATGCACGTCTTTCCGTGTCTTTTCGCACGAGATTAAAACGTAAAAGACGCAAGAAGCTTCATTTGGAGCTTCCCAAAATCTGCCCAAAATGGGCTTCTCACATCTTTTCAGCATTCCATCTTTTGATGGATAGATCTTTTGCGCGCCAAACAGAAATAGACTGAAAATTGGTATTCATGACTTGTAAACAGCTAAAAGACCATACCAAAAAACATGCCAAACGGATCTTGAAAGAACTCCATGCGGATACCCAGATTTGCAAGGGAACCTGCTGGTCAAATGGGATTTAGGATTTAGATAAACTTATCTATGTCTTTCTAAAATACATGTGTTCTTATTTTATACCTAAATTTTTTATATCTATATTAGTTTTTTATAAATTTAACAAGTTTTGAATTGAATCGATCCTAAATGAATTGAAGATGTGGAATTGAATATTTTAGGCCTCATTTGGCATCAATTCTGAAAAATTTTCATTCTTAAAATTTTCCAGAAAATAATGGATTCTAGATTTTCTAAATTATGAGAAAAGGTGTAGGCATTTGGCATAGAACACTGATTCTTGTTTCTCATAATCAAAATAACATTTGGCCACCACACTTCTTCAAAAGTCTCTCAAGTTTTTAAGGAATCACATTTGTGTATACCCTTATTTGAATTCTATGATACAATTGACTAAATATATAGGTTGTATCTAGACTGTGATAGGATCACCGATCACTTGCCAACAAAAATTCTGTACACTCTAAAAACATGGATATCCAACTATACATTGGCAACATCTCCCTATGAATTTAATATACATATACAAAAGATATTCCCAATATGTAGTTGGATGCAATATATGCAGAGTTTTTATTTGTAAGAGATCGAGTTTCATCCAAACATATAAATATGCCATTGTACACTGAATTCTTAAATAATACCATTGGCCATTGAATCAACAAGCATATAACTATTCCATTGTGCACTGAATTCTTAAATAATATATTGGAAATATAGCCTTAAGCTATGTTTGGTTTGAAGGAAAAAAATAGGGAAAGGAAAGGAAAGGCAAAGAAACCTTTACAAACCTTGTATAGATTTTGATATTTTTCCCTTCCTTTCCCTACCTTTCTATCATTGGCAGCCAATCTTATGGAACTCAAAACTAGAGGTTGATTAAATAAGGGCTCAAGTCGGTTCACAGATTGAAAACTGGATCTGCTCTCCTCATGTATTGCTGTAGTGACTTGTTAAGATGGGATTCCCTGCAAGTAAAAGTCCTGCACACACTATGCAAGCATAGTCACATATTAGGAACATTTTCATATAAATTTAACATACATGCATGGGAGATATTCTGAACGTGCAACTTGATGCTATATGTTTAGAGTATTTTATTGCAAGATATCTGGGCTCTGGCATATTGGGAGCAGATCCAAACTACACCCATAGACTGACCTAACTTGACCACTTGGCTTCACAAGAAGTGAAAAAATAAAGGGTAAATTTCTTAAACTACCCCTAAGGTTTAGAAAATTGACTAACTATACCCCTAATGTTTCAATATTGTTTTAAACTATCCTATTATTTCTAACAATTGACTAAACCTTTCTAAAGACTTTTTTCCATCATTCTTCAAGACCTTGGTGTGGCGGATGAGTTTATAATTTTGTTACACAGCTTTTAGCAGCTCTTCTAACCCTCTCCTCATCGCCGATGATGGCCTCTTTGAGTGGAGAACCTTCCTATATGATTTGGGCAATGGGCACTCGCCTTGTCAAATTTGTTGATTGACAAGGCGAGTGTGGAGATGTTCGAAAGAGAAGTCTTGAAGCAGTTTAACCATCCACTTCTTCCAAAGCTCCGAGGACTTCTTTTCACCGCGCGATAAATTTGATGGGTTCATCATGGATTACTGTTCAGTTGGAGATCATAACTTGCTGAGGAAGAGACAATCCGAGAAGATGTTCTTTGGTGAGGTTATCAGATTCTTTTCACTTCCAATCTAAAGTTTCAAACCGGAAAATAGTATTTTTTTATTAACAATTTTCTCTTACAAGTTCGTCTTGAATTAATTTCAGGTTCACTCGGGAGCAATGCCTTCGTAGCTGAGACTTTAAACCCGTCTCACGAAGAAATTAAACCATTGAATACTTAGTGAATGAACAAAGTCGATCCTATCGAGCAACTGCAAAAAAAAAAAAAAAACCTCGTCTGCTCAATCAACAGAAGGTCAGGAGTCCAACCCTCGTCTGCTCAATCAACAGAACGTCAGGAGTCCAACCCTCGTCTCCTCAATCAACGGAGGGTCAGGAATCGACTGGGAATCGAAAGAGAAGATATAGAAGAAGAGAATGGATGAACAAAAGTTCCCTTCATCCCTTGTGGAAGATGAGCCTTTGTTCTTGTTTTCGACGCCATGAAGACACTTATTGCTATGCCCATAGTGAAGAATCTCAAAGAACCATTCAACCTATTAGGTGAGGTCTTTGGATGGATTGATATTCTCTAACACGCCCCCTTGCACGAAAGCCCATTAGACGTGAAGTGTGAACAAGTACAGGCCTACCCATATCCCTCGTGCTAAATCCTAATTAATTATAATGGAGGTAATGAAAATTGAACATTAGACCACTTGGTCAAAGTTGGTCAAAGTGGCTCTAATACCATTTCAAAGAATGATTTAACCTAAAGGTTAAGTTATTAGGTGAGGTCCTTGAATAGGTTGATAAAGAAGAATAGACAT